GCTTTTCTTTTAGTCAGAACTCTCCACTATGACCTGTCCGTCTTGGGTGTCCCTGCACGGCACAGCCCATAGCTTCTCTGAATTATTCAAGCCCCTTCGCCACGACAAGACAGCAAGAAGACGGACCACGACAAGGCAGCAATCAATGAAGAGGGACATCTAGTACACCCTTGCCTAATCTATGCCAATTTAAACCAACTAAAGGAACTGCATGATTTGAATGTCAACAAAGAAAGAACTTTAAACAAAACCTTGTCCACTGGGGCAGTTTGGGGAAGTCTAGTATGATAGGTAGAAGAATGTTGTGTATAAACGTGTAATGCATCTTGCAAATGCCACCAAAATCTAAGATGGGGTTTCCTGAATCAACATTAATGTTCAAGAAGTCCAGCACCTACTTTCCAGATTGGTCTACAAAATGCCACCTGGAAGCCCAAGATATAACAGCAACAGGTTTTTCCCCATGGTTACTTTCCAATGATATACTGTTTCTGAACATTCAGGTTCCACATAGCTATTAGCAATTGTGACGTGTGCCATGACGTCACCTGCCTGTCTTGGCTAAGGCTGGAGTTTCCTGGCCTATGGCAAGGCAGGAGGTGGGTCTTATAGGGGTGGAGCTTGTGTATATAAGGGGGGTGTACAAGGAGAGAGGGGGTTGTTGAGGGTTGGTTGTTGGGGAATTAGAGAGTGAGAGGGTTAGGTATAGGTTAGGTAACTGTGTGTAAAGTAATAAAGAACTGTGCAGGGTGAAGGTCTGATAAATATAATATAACAAGTGATTCATTTACTCATTGATTTCCATCTTAAGTTTGTAATCAATAAATCATCCTTTTCATTTTAAAATCCATACATAGTCTGAAGTGTCAGGTTTATGTGTGGTTGGTGGCAGCGAAGTACTGTGTGTGTGTGAAGGATCGTGGCCTGTCATCTCGTGTGGTGACGTAGGAGGAGGTGGCAGCCGCGACAGCAATCTATCTTCCATGAATTCAGCAATGGTTACAGATTGACAATGAGGGCAGAATCCTATTGGTGTTTTTTTAAACTTGCAGTGGCTAACTGCAACTAAGTGATGAGGTGTTGGGACATACCCTGGTTGCATGCCTGGTCATATCTCTACTGTACAACTGAGAAACAGCCTAGCACCTCATCAGTAAGTTGCAATTAGCTGTGGCAACTTATGCAAACCTCACATGCACATCAGTAGAATTATTGCCTGTATGCTTTAACTACTATTAAATTCGGTTAAAGAATTAAGAATGTGCATAACTTTCATATGAAAATCATTGAGACTTAGTAGTAGTTTTACCTCACTAATAGTCAGTTTGCTTTTTTAGTTAGTGTGTGTGTGTCTATGTATATGCATGTTCTTAACATGGCACTAAACATACCAAAGAAGGATGCCATCTGCAAGTGACTTAAAAAGACTATCATCCAATGGATCCATAGGGAGAAGATGTTTGCAGTCAGGGTCATCTTGAAGAGCCTTATTTATCCAGTTAACAAAAGCAACCTTTTCTTCCTCTGAAAAACAGGCAGGAAAAATCAAACAAAATGCAAGTCCAATGTAAAAGTAGGACAACAAATATTACTGAAGTGAACAGACTCAATGAATCAGCATATTCAGTTCTCATTCTTCTGCAGCACCCTTCTGAGGTAGAGTTCTTCATTTAACAGCTAAGATGTTGTTAGACGTTGTTAGACTCAACTACTCATACTTGCTACATAAAAGAAAGCCAGTTTTCTCTGTTGGGAATTCCAATGGTGGCTTTGCCTACAAGCAAGAAAAGATGGTAGAAAGCATAATAACAAGAGGGAAGGAGAATCTCTTCCTGAATTCCTCACAGACATTGATCTCTGTCCTTGGCACCTAATATTCATTAAGAGGTGGAAGATGAATGTGCATAGAAAAATTACATAATTATAATAATGAAAATTTAGAAACTGAAACTTAAATATTTTGTACACTTTTGGCTAAACATTAGTCCAAAAGAAGACTACAGACGAGAAATCATGAAAAGATTGAGACTTGGAACAATAGATATGAAGGGACTTAAAAAAGATTCTAAAGTATAAGACAGTGTTCCTGGAAACCAAAGTGAAAGTCATCTATACTAGAGTATTCCCAATTACTATGTATGGATATGAAAGCTGGATAGTGAAGAAAGATGAGAGGGACAAAATTTATTAGTTTGGAATGCGGTATTTGAGGGTACCATTCCAGATACCATGGACTACTGGAAAGACCAAGTGATCAGTTTAAATCTGAATTCTACCTAGAAGCCAAAGTAACTAAACTGAGACTATCATATTTGGGCATATCATGATAAGAAGATTCAATGGGGAAAATAATTAATACTGAGGAAAAATGAAGATAACAGGAAAAGAGCAAAAACAAATAAGGGATGGATTGACTCAATAAACCAGCGGTCCCCAACCCTTTTTGGGACCGTGGACTGGCTGAGCTTCTGAGGAAAGTGGGGCACCCCCACACACTCGACAGCTGAGGAAAGCAGGGCACCCCCCCCGCACTCAACGGGCATGCTCTTGGGCGCATGTGCAAAGCAGTGGGGGAGTATGCCCACCAGCACCGGTGTGAGTGCTCCCCCACTCCTTTGCGCATGCACAGGAGTGCCTGCACGCCCACCCGCCCATTCAAAAGGGTGCTCGGGCGCATGTGTGAAGGGGTGGGGGAGTGCTCATGCTGGCCCTGGCATGCACGTGCATGCACAAAGCAGCTGTGGGGAGGGGAGTGCATGGAGGGGAGGTGGGAGGTCTGTTTCTGCGGCCCAGTTTGGCTCAGGCCACGGACCAGCACCGGGTTGCGAACCGGGGGTTGACAACCTCTGCAATTAATGACATTATGACTGTGACTTTGTAGGAACTTAGCAGGCTTCGGACATTTTGAAAACCATTAATTCATAGAGTCATCACAAGTTGGAAGTCACTTGAGGGCATATAAGAACAAGGAAGCAGAACATCCCTTTGCTGTCATTTATTCAAGCCAAGCTTTTTCTGCCAGCAGTTTGGGAAGCAATCAAAATTCTCAACAGACAGACAGAGTAGGGCTGCTTTCATATGGTGAGTTTAATGAATAGACTAGCTCCAAAACAGTGACATTCAAAGTCAATTCCAATAATTATGAAGGTCCCTCAATGAGAGCCTCAGCGGAAGCAAACCAAACTTTCTTAAAAGATATCTTGGTTACTGCTTCTATCATTACTCTGGAACTTTTAGCAGAAGAAACAGGGAAGTTCTGGATATATTCTGTTTATGTAGGGCAATGTTGAGGCTTAGCAATGGTTGCTAGTGTTTTTGGCATATGTGCCACAGAACCAGATCCTGAGAAGCTGCTTTTAAAAATAATGAATATAATGATATGCTGAGGACATCCACAATGAACTGTGGAAGAATGATGCTCTAGGTTCTAGAGCATCATCCTACTCTGCTCAGTTATTTGTAGTCTCAGCCTCTAGCATTACAATAATTCTGCCTGAAAGTAGATTTCCAAGCTCTGCACAGAAGAGCTCATATAATTATTTACAGTAGAGATGGCTTCCACAGTGTAGCTGGCCAGCAGATATCACTGCCTGTAAGTTGAGACCAGGTCCCTTCTGGTCCCTTCCTGGAGGGGAAGAACAAAGCTTAGAATTGTCTTTCTTGACTGATGCCCACATTGTAGGGAGGAACAGTGTTTTTCCAATGGTGACAAAAACTGAGCAGCTGGAAGAAGGATCTACCTAGACGACTGAAGAACGAAGGCAGCGCTGAAAGGCTTGCAAACAGATGAGCTTTCAAATTACAGAAGACTAAATTTTCTAACCTGGTGATCAGTATCTTGGTGGTAGAAACTTTCAGAAATTAAAAACTCCATTTCACACCTTTACACCACTTCCAAAGACAAAATTAGAGATGGGCACCAACCTTGGTTCGTAGGTTCGTGCTGGTTCATATGCATGGCACCACAGGTGCCATGCGTTCCTTTCCCCAATCTCCCCAGCAAAATTACCCACTCACCAGTTGGAGTGCGTTCCTCTCCTCCTCCTCTTCAGGTGTTCTGCCAGTCCCCAGCACGAACATGGGTTTGCCCATCCTGCCGCTCTGTCTGAGTGAGCAATCGGCCAAGGAGGTGGAGCAGGGAAGCCCATGCTTCTGCCAGAGACTGGTCAAACAGCCAAAGAGAAAAGGGAGAAGACTCTGTGCTGGCTAGTGAGTGCAGGATCCAGCCAGGGAGGCAGGGGATCTGGTTTTGTGCGTACAAACCGGCATGAACCTCTGAACCAAAGTTCATGCTCATATATAGTCAAATGTCCATGGAAACTTCAGGACTTTCTGAGATGGTGGGATTAGAAATGTTTTCCCTCTCAAAAATTGCCACAGCGGATGACATCACCAGTCTTATGTGATGCAGCTGTGGAAAGAAGATTTCATCCTATAAGTGATTAAAGAATGAGTTGCTTTTTTGCTGCATATTTAATCATTGTTTTATCTGTAATTTGGAAGCTTGTACTTGTAAACATGTCAGATTTTCTAGACAAGGCAAATGAGAATTATTGACAAAATACAGCGGGACCACCTTTAAACAACAGTTGTAGCAACATGCTGGATTTATTTGGATTTATTTTCACATTGTTTTTTTCACACAGCAAATTGTTTACCTGAGTAAGAGTGCTGAGTGCCCTCACTGGAAATTGGTGATGTTCCTCCAATCGCAGTAATTCCCTTTTTTTTGTTTATGGATTTTCGGAATGATTTACTAATATCTTTACTTTTTAGTTCCTGAATCACCTGGAACAAAAGAGAGATTCACATACATTTCGACATCATGGATGAGACAATTGAAAAATATTGCACACAAGAGGAGCCTTCAAAAGCACTATATACTACATGCTTGCTGTGCACATTATGTCATTGTTAAGCTTCTTGTGCTCTCATTTTTTCTGTCCAAAACAAGTCATTACTTATCTCAAACATTAGAGATGGTTAGAGATCTCAACCATGTCTGAGGAAGTGGACTTGTCCACGAAAGATCACATTAAAATACAGCAGTTAGTCTTTAAGGTGCCACAATGTTTTTGTCTTCTTTAATTTTTTTTTTCTTTTGTATTTAACAATGTTTTTGTCTTCTTTAATTTTTTTTCTTTTGTATTTACCTGATATGCTAGCACAGACTAATACGGCTACTTGTGAGTGAGTCAACTGCAAGAAATGAAAATAAAGTAAAAGAAATAATGGAATAAGGAAAAACAGAGAAAATGGATTGCAAAAAGAACCTATACTTTCCTGCCGGGGAGTCTAGATAAGTAAGAAGGTATAAATATACATTACTAATCTAACAGTATAATGTTAGAAACTAAAGTATTTTTTAAAAGTACAAATGAAGATGCTATGTACCCGTATTAAGGAGAGCTCAATTTTCTTCAAATGATTTTTGTAGTATTTCTTATGATACTAATAAATTAAGGCCATTTTACTTTTAGTAAAAAAAAAATCACTAGCAGGCAGAAGCTGCATAATAGCCAATCAACTATGCAGTCCTTAAGGGTTTTTTCCTCTTTCAGATGTTACTGAATATCACTAATTATAGTCCTCATGGTGCACTCTTCATCATCCCATGTAATTATAGTAACAATACTTTCGTTTTTTCTTGATTCATATCAGAGCATAGCACAATTTAAAGTTATGAATGTATATGAAATATGCATAAAATAAAAAAACAAGTTAAAATGTTAAGATAATTAGACTGTTTTTGACCAGAGGTGGGCTACTTCAATAGTGTTATCTTGGCCATTTGAAATATCTTCTTTTGTACACATGGTAGGGTATAATTTGCATGCATGTAACTGCTGCATTAATTAGATTTTTCTACAGTCATGGAAAATCTATCCATATTCATCATGTCAAAGATGATACCATTTTGTAAGTTCTAACTTTCACTAGTCTATATTGCTGTTTTATTGTTCCTCTGTAAAATGGAACAATAAAGTGTTTTTAGATTTAACAAGACAACTCAATGATGCCTCAGTCTAGATGATACTGTTAACATGAAGTTGATCTGCCTCATTCACAAGTTTTATGTGAAATCCAGATTATCTTGCTTTCCACTGCTAACCCTACTATGTTTCCCACATCATCTTTAGTTTCGTTTTCCTTTCAGTTGGAAAAAAATATCCAGTGGCTGCTCCCAGGCTTTGACAGCAAGGGAGTAGGGGTGGGGTGTTTTTTTTTAATGACCCCCCATGAATCAATGAATATATTCTTTTTTCATCGCTTCATGGGGCAAGTTTTTGGCAAGTCGTCCCCCTTAGTGAGTCATCCAAAGTTCATGATTCACTAAGCGAGACGACTTGCCAAAAATTGTGAGTCGTTCCCCAACTCTACTTATAGACTATGGCAGAAGCCATACTACTACACAATAAAGTATGGCGATTGCTCACAGGGCTTGCTAACGGGATGGGCGAGGTACCCGTGCGTGTGGGTGGGTGGGCCATGCTTGTGGGTGGGGTGCATAGGGGGAGTCTGTGCAGGGGGACGGGCACACAGACTGGCACTAGGTCGCAGAGCAGGGGTTGGGGACCCCTGCTCTACAGTACTGATGAATACCAGTGAATGTTACAGAAGGAATCCTATAAGATTCCTTAACTAATACGACAGAGCAATCAGTTCTTTTACTGTTCGAATTCTTGGTGTACTGATACATTTCATGAAAATAAAACCATCTGTAGCTACGTGTAATGTAAGGCAAAATGTAACACAATATATTTTCAAAAGTACAACTTAGTAATGATCACATACTTCATTTATTACATGCTAGTACTAAATCAGTTAAGTCCAGGTAAACACAAGGCTTGAAAAAGCAGTATACTTACTGACACAAATTCTTCAAAGTTGATTTTGCCATCTTTGTTGTTATCAGTCACTGCTATAATTTTTTCTACAATTTCTCGGACTTTATAACCAGGAAGAGGAAGGCTGGCTTCTTTGAAAAGATCTTGAAGTTCATAATCGCTGACATATCCACTGTTGTCAATATCTATAAATGACAAGCTTAGACATTGTTGTTTTTGCCATATCACAAAGTGGCTATAAAAACCCCAAAGGCAATTAATTAATGAACCTGAAACACTGAAATTAAACACGATATTATGTTCACTTTGAAGAAACAGTTCTAGAAGAAATATAATTAAGACCACTCAATAGACCAGGAAATGTCCATCCCAGATTATCAAAAGAATAACTGTGAGTAACAAAAACAAGACAAAATACTCTAAAAATTATGAAAAAATAAAAAGAGAATGGCTGAAACAGGAGCCTTCTCTGGCAACACCATTTGTGAATAAAGCACCAGTGTTTTGTACACTCATCATTCAGCACAGCCTGGACTGAAAAAACTGGGGCAGAATCCTGTTAGTTTTTTCTGCTACCACAATGGTCTGTTACACAAGGGGGGGGGGTGTTTACGGGGCTTGTGGGAGATATCACACAAGTACCTCCTGGTAGAAGCAAAAGCTCTAATGGCTTCAAAAGGAATCTCTGCTGTGCAAACAGATAAGTTAACATCTGTGGAATATTACACCACGCCAATGTTCAGCTGGATTCTGCCCTGTTTCATATACACAGGGGAGATCTGGGTTGTTGTTTGTTGTTGCATGGCAAGCCTCTTTTCAAACTGAGGAAACGTCTGATATTCAGAGGGGAAAATGGTGGAGGGGTTACCTATGCTAGCACTACTTTCTTGTTCTTTTTCAATTCTTTACATTATTTATTATCTACTATTATTGAAAGTGAGCTAACATACAGTGGTCTGAATCACAGACTTCTCCCTGTGCATTACAATTTTTATAATTTAATTTTTCTGTGTATAAAAAATTCCAAAGGCCAAAGTTTGACAGACCACTGGCAGAATTAAAATCCCTGATAGTGCAGTTGCACTACATTGTATCATTGTACAAGTTATTGTGAAAAGGTCTGGAGAAATAGTTGTGCAAGTGGCTGCATAAGCACCTGCACAAAACTGCTTTGGATATGATCCTTTCACTAACATTTAACGTGTGCTATTGCTTGTATAATATGCCTTGTACTTGTGCCAATCATCTTTCTTCTTTGCTGTTTTGGGAGTGGGTAGTCTGGTCTTTGCTCTTCCTATCCCTATTTTAGGAGGAAAACCTGGAAGAACAAAGACTGTGGCTGCACTAATTCATCTTCCAAACATGCTGCCTCATTCATAACTTAAAAAACAAACAAACCCTTCAACATCTCTTAGTTTCATTGATGTACTATATTAAGATTCAACTTCCTGGTTCTAAACAAATGTGTAGTTTATGACCTGAATTGAAGTACTTTGATCATTTGTTCTTCCATAAACCATCTTTTCCTTTCTTCTTTGAAAATCAAACTATCATTCTTCAATAGTCCAAAGTTTCATTTATGTACAATGTAGGTTGCCCACATTTTATCAACCTTTATCCTTTTTCCTTTGGTTTCCTGACTCTTTTCTCTTTGTGATATAGAAATGTTGGATAGCTCAGTGGACTAAGCATGTGGCTGCAGAGCCAGAAGTTGAGAGTTCAATTCCCCACTGTGCCTCCTTGACAGGGGCTGGACTCAATGATCCATGGGGTCTCTTCCAGCTCTGCAGTTCTACGATGATTATTTATTTATTTATTTATTTGGTTATTTATATTATGTTTTTGCTGGTAAATTTCACTTCTAATTTTCATGATTTCTCTCCATCTTCTATTCTCTTATACATTCAATCCTCAAATCGTATAATTCTTTTAGTGTAAAGTTAAAACCCTTGGTTTTTAATCCTGGTACTTTACTGTAGGTGATCACTGAGCAAAAGGAAAACTAATGATGGGGGTGATCAGAGAACAATAGAAGTCAACAAGCAGATGTCCGAGCCAGCAGAGCTTCAAGAAAACACCTTGAGAACTCAACCCTTTTATTAACTTAGCAAGGGTTACATTGTATGTTGTGAGAATTCAGATAGGATACTGGTTACCTAATCACCACTAGGATTGGCCGGAGAACGTCTTTGAACCTATGCCCTAATTCTAAGGGAAAAGGCAGAATGAGTAGGTCACTCCGCCTGCTGGCAGCTGCTGCTTCTCTGCCAGGAGAATTTGCTCACCACTGAAAACAGATAACAGCTAACAGCCTTGGGCAGAGTTTTCCCACACTTTACAAGAAAGAAAACTGCTTTCTTGACTGTCTGCTGGATCTATTATCCAAATATACTGTGTAATCTCTTTACAACAATAGTATAATTACTATAATTACAGTTTACTATTCCTGTTATATCACTCACTTTCTTACTTTTCTAATCACATCCTTTCCTTGTCCTTTTAAGAAACTTACATTACAACTCAATAAGGTTAATGGCAACAGCAGATTCCCACATTTTGATGAGGCTTAAAGAAAGACACAATCTATCTTTTTAAAAATTCTAAGCTGAGTAACTAGAAGCTACTACAGTGGTGCCCCGACTTACGAACTTAATCGGTTCCAGAAGAATGGTCATAACTAGAAATGGTCATAAATCGAAGCACCATTTCCCACTGAAATGCACTGAAAACCCATTAATCCATTCCGGCTGAAAATAATAATAATTATTACAGTGGTGCCCCACATAGCGAGGTTAATCCGTTCCGGATTAACCATCGCTATGGGGAAACATCGCTATACGGGACAAAAAAGCCCAAAAGTTCCAAATGGGCCCAAAACTCACCGTTATGTGATGTTCCTCCATAGCACGGGCATTTTCGCGCCCTCGGTAAGCGAGGGCAGGGCGCGAAAACGCTGCGTGCGGCCATTTTGGGTGTTCCAGTGGCTATTTTGGAACCGCCGAACAGCTGATTTTTAAAAAATGCTATGCAAAGATTGGTAAGCGAAACGCTTACCGATCATCGCAAAGCAAGTTTTTGCCTATCTAGGCATCTGTATGAAATCGCATTAGCGATCCCAAAAAATGGATTGCTATGCAAATTCGTCGTTAAACGGTGCGCTCGTTATGCGAGGCACCACTGTATTTAAAATATTCACCACACAGCAAGCCCCATTGGAATTTGATGGAGCTGAAAAAACACACACCAAACAGACCAAAAAACATCACAGCACAGAAACATAACCCCCCAAACTCAAACCCACCCTGCAAAACAAATAAATATACTTACTGAGACCCAGAAGCAGAAAGCAGCACCAAGCAGTCTGAAGCCTGTCTGCAAACACACACACTCTAACTGTTGGGGTGAAAGAGCTACAAAGAAGCTCTTTGCCAACCAATAGTTAGTAATTTGAATTCCCCACCTTTTTCCATGCCTCTTTTCTGTTTCCCACTCACAGCTCTGGCTGCAAGTCGAAGCAAAGTTTTGTGGCCGGAGCTGATGTGAGAAAGTGAGTAATATGACAGTTAAATAGTAAATGACAATTATACTATTGTTGGATAACAGATCCAGCAGTCAACAACATATTTATTTATTTATTTATTTATTTATTTATTTATTTATTTATTTATTTATTTATTTATTTATTTATTTATTTATTTATTTATTTATTTATTTAACTTTACCCACACTACCCAAAGGTCTCTGGGCACTGTACAACAATTAAAATACAGTAAAAATAATTAAAATACAATTAAAATATATACTCTAAAGCATATGTTTTCAGATGCAAGAAAAACAGCTAAAGTATTATTTGCAAATATGTATATCAAAGACTTGTAAATGAAGACAATAGGGAATATAGTCAATGTGAAATTATTTGCCAGAACTGAGCTCTGTAACATACAATGCTGGTCTCCTACTGGGAATCCGAACCAGATGATCCACTGGATCAATTGCTGAATGGTTAAGTCAATGCAATCCTATTGAGTCAATGTGTCTACTCTGGTTGGGACTAGCAATATGATATTGTTCTAAATGATGCCAGACTAAGTTAAGAATTGTACTTTTAAAAAATAGCTTCCAGGTGACAAGAGAAATTGTCATTAGAATCTTAACTGCATATTTCCTGCTAAACATAAAATTGTAAATGAAGTTGTATATTAACAGGACTCTACAGTTTTACAACTCAAATCTATATAACAAAGTTCAGCTTCCTTGACTTATAAATGAAGAGTTTCATGCAGGTTGGGGTGGGATGGTGATATTATTTATCCAGAAATGGATACTTGCATCAGAATATAGCTTTTGATGCAGCTCTAGATATTTTAAAAACTCAACATTATTTCAAATAAAATATCTGATGTGAATAGCTATTTCTGTTTTAATATTGCAAGACATTATTTTAAAAAAGAGAGTGAAACTGTAAGATCAAAAACACTGACAAACATCTTTTATAGCCCAAGCAGAATGAATTGCTTTGGCAATGTACAAAAGTTACTGACATCCCACAAAGTACTTTAATTAACCTATTATGTAATCTCATTCTGAAGAGCTACAATGTCAGCTACAAAGAAAATAAAATTAACTAATTTTCTTAATCCAGATGCAAAATCTCCCTTGAAAATACTGATGTAGCACCATTTAAGAGAGACCAATGATGGCTTTCTCACGCGTTACAAGAATTTTGGAAAATCTGTTATTGCTTCTGGGACCATGTTTACCACATGTTTCAGTAATATTAAGTCCTTTCAGAAGATCCAAAAAATGCATGGCTAACTGTGTCCATAGAATTATTATCTGGTTTAATGAGCACATGGCATAGAAAACTTCCATCTGGATGGAATACATTTTCTGAGCCTGTTCTACTCTTGTTGAAGAAAGATAATCAAGTTCTAGACTCTGGTTCATGTGTTCTCCAAGCCTTCCATGACAATGATGTCCCAGCTGATAGAAATAGAACATGAAGGAGGAAGGAATAAGGTAAGCTGATGACTGCAGCACCATGGATAGCTCTGAACTAATGAAATCCTTGCATTTCTCCTTCTCTTAGATTGTATCTAACTCTACTGAAGAAGAACAGACCTAACTATCAATGGTGTTCTCCAAAAGGGTGCCATTTCATATTTCAGAATAAATATGCAAAAAGAATTTATTATTAGGAAAGGAGGAGAGAGAATATGTGCAACAAAAGTCAATGTATGCAATCAAAATATAAAACATAGTTTTATATTTCAATTAAATACAGTGGTGCCTCGCATTACGACGTTAATTCGTTCCAGCGAAATCGCTGTAGAACGAAAACGTAATGCGAAAAGAAAAAACCCATTGAAATGCATTAAAACCCATTTAATGCATTCCAAAGGGCTGTATACTCATCGCCCAGTGAAGATCCTCCACTGGGAGGCCATTTCCGCTGCTTGCGCAGCGAGGAATCCGTCCCAGAAAACAGCGGGGGGGGCATTTTGTTTACCCAGCAGCCATTTTGAAACCGCTGATCAGCTGTTGGAAAATCGTCGTTCCCGAAGCAGGGAACCGATCATCGCAAAGCGAAATTCCTCCATAGGAAACATGGTTTTGCGATCACAAAAAGTTCATTGTAATGCAGTTTCATTGTTAAACGGGGCAATCATAAAGCGAGGCATCACTGTATATTGGATCAACTATGGTCATTACATATGAGTAAGCTTGATGTGTTATCTATTGTTTTTAGTGATGTTATATTGTTTTAGTTGTCTTTTTTCTGTTTTTGTTTTTTTATTATGTAAATAAAATTTATTTTAAAAAAGATTTTATCTCCAGTCCCTAAAGCAATGGGTTGCAACCAATGTTCATTTTTTTTCCTGATGGAGGAAGTACATAATTCACCAGGATTCAATGGTGTACTTCTGCTAGATCCCACCAGAATCAAGGAATCTGCTCAATCTCCTGCATCCTATGTATACTATGTAGCCGCCCAGAGTGGTCGTATAGACCAGATGGGTGGAATATAAATCAAATAAATAAATAAATAAATAAATAAATAAATAAATAAATAAATCCCTGCAACAGATCTTTTGGTACCAAAGAGTGGTGCAACGTGCTGGGAATGGGAAGGAACCCCTTGATCTGCTGATATTGGATATCGTAACACATGGTTACCTCCTGGCCTTAGAATCCAACCCAATGAACTTCAAATTCATGTCCATTGACCATAAAATCCCATCCCTACCCCTTATAAATTATGATCATACATCAGTCATCATTATTTATTTTAAAGCATATGACTTTTTTCCTTTTTCTTTACTTTTCTGAACCATCTTTAATCCTTTTGAGGGCCCTGTTTGCCATGCACAGCACACTAGGCCATTTACAGTGGGGTCTCGACTTACGAACGGCTCGACATACGAACATTTCGACTTACGAACCGCTCTCATAGGAATATACGGACTCAACTTATGAATGAATGAATGAATGAATGAATAAATACTGAAAAATCTCTGCAACAGATCTTTTGGTACCAAAGAGTGGTGCAACGTGCTGGGAATGGGAAGGAACCCCTTGATCTGCTGATATTGGATATCGTAACACATGGTTACCTCCTGGCCTTAAAATCCAACCCAATGAACTTCAAATTCATGTCCATTGACCATAAAATCCCATCCCTACCCCTTATAAATTATGATCATACATCAGTCATCATTATTTATTTTAAAGCATATGACTTTTTTCCTTTCTCTTTACTTTTCTGAACCATCTTTAATCCTTTTGAGGACCCTGTTTGCCAGGCACAGCACACTAGGCCATTTACTTGTAATGGTAATTCATTGTACCATCAAATTGTGTACAGACAGGAATCACTATGAAACAGCCACAGGTGACCTGAAACTAAAGGGACTGAGAAGGAGACAACGTATGGATATGAGAGACAATGTGGCTGTTTCTTCTTCCCACTGTCAGAAGAAGCACAGTCTGTAACAATTCAGCCAGCCCACCTATTTTACTGAAAGCTTCCTTTAGTTCTTCCAGTTCTTCACGAGAAATGGTAGTTACGTTATTTTCCATCTTTTGACTGCCACGCCAGCTGTTCTCAATTCTTTTATGCCTAAAAATAACCAACACAGCATGTCATAAAGTATTCAACAGAAACATACGAACTACTGAATCTTGGAAACACACAATGAAACTATTGAGTAATTCAGGCACAAGGAACATGTAACCCTCCAGATGATGTGGCACTGCAATGCCCATCCTTCCTCACACCAACAGCTGACTAGAACTGCAATCCAGAAAAATCTGGTGGACCACACACTCCTCATCCCTGCTGTATGCTATGGATTAGGCCCTTTGTGGAGACACTGCCACTTGGATGGATAAAAATCAATAATTTTTTCTCAATTAAATTTATTTAAATCAATTTGATTTAAATCAAATCCATCACGACTGCCAGAGCTTTGAAAGTAATTAGTTGTTATGAACATATTACACCTGTACATACGATTTCAGACTACTTTGGGTTTTTCCCAAATACCACCTTCGTTTTCTCGGTTTAATATCTGTTCTATTCCCATTCTTATCACCATGCAGACACAATGTCAAATTCAAAGTCAGAACTTTCAACAAAGTGCATTGTGTAACAGAGCAATAAATTTTAAGTTCAAAATCTTTTGGGTGGTTTTCAACATACAAAAATGATCACTACTGAAACATCTTTATATATCAACCGTAACTTTCCTAAACGTAGACAAACCTTCGCAGTTATCCACTTTCATACAATGCAATAACTACAGCTGATGGTCAATACCTTCCCACTTTTCTGTCCTAAGCCATTGCCAAGTTGCTGAGATCAAAGAAGTTCTACCTTTCCTGAATTGTCTATGCCAGTGCTGGCTTGATAGGACTGGTGAAGCGTGCATGCAGAATGACTTTCTATCCCACTCTGTTTATCCCTGCCAGCTGCCTTATAAATCAGTGGCTATCATAGTTTTAATTTGTGGGAGGAAACAAGAATGGTTTGCATCCAGCACCTTAGCCATTTCCCATCCCCTAGGTCATCCATCCCTTAAACACCTTAGCCATTTCCCATCCCCTAGGTCAACCAGAACACTGACAGAATCACCTACCTAGGCAACAGGACAGTCCCAAGGAATTGTCAGGAAATCATTTGGATCCACCACGCTCCTGGGGCAGACCATTTTAACTGTGCTCCAACATAGAGCCTGTGAATGCCAACGCGTGTCTAGCCGCCTAGAGTGGTCACAATTGACTAGATAGGCGGGGTATAAATGAAATAAATAAATAAATAAATTTTCTCTAAACCTAATTATAATTTAATGAAGTGCAGTACTGTTGCAGAGCTAGGAGTTTGGAGTTCGACAGCCCACAGTTCTTGGGGGAAGAGCCAGCCTATCTAGCCTTGGGTAAGTTGCACAGTTCTAGAGCATCACTAGGAGGAACTGGTAGACCACATCTGAATACTTTGTAACTGGGAAACCCTGGCAAGGGCTGTCATACATTAGAATCGACTTGATGACACATATTTATAATTAAACTTAGCCTACGAATTGACTCAGTCTTCTTCGGGATTGCAGAGAGGGACAAGGAGAGATGAGGTTTGCCTCCTCCAACTTTTGTTTATAGGAAAATGTAAAGAAAATGTGTCTCTATTTTGTATGTTGCTTTTATTCTTTTTAATAAATTACTTATATTTAATTTTCAGTAGTAATATGCTATTAATGTTAAAAAGCCAAAATCCATAAAATAAAAATTTAGTGTGCCAGAAGAATGAACTAGATTTGTACCCTATCCTTTGAATGAATTCATCCTTTGATACAGTAAGGGTGGAAAAACCTATTCAGCCAAGTAGACAAATTCTAATTTGGGGAGATCTCGAAATTTGCATACCATCAATGGATGGGACTAAAGGAGAGAGCAAAAGCAAAATGTCTACACATAAAGCTAAGTCCCAGGGCAACAGCTTCCCAAGCTGCAGATCAAAACACTGCATGATAACTATGTTTCTAAAAATGTTGCATGAAAGCAAACAAGAAGATATAACAAAGAAGCAAGCCAGTATTACCTCATAAAGTTAGTTAATATCTACAGACTTTTGAAATACTTACATGTTTGATGTGGGGGCACTCACCACTTTGGTCCCTGCACTCGTAGTCTCAAGATTAGACTACTGTAATGCGCTCTATGTGGGGCTGCCTTTGAGACTGACGTTGAAACTTCAGATGGTCCAGAATGCAGCGGCCAGACTTCTTACTGGGGTGAAATAGTACCATCATATTTCCCCCACTCTGTTCGCCTTGCATTGGCTGTCCGTTCGTTTCAGCGTTGATTTCAAAGATCTTACAATTACATATAAAGCTCTAAATGGTTTAGATCCTTAATATCTGGCAGAGCGCCTTCTCCCATCCAGTTCTGCCAGAGTCACTTGTTCCAGCCAGCCTGGGCTGCTGAGGGGCCTAACACTTAGGGAGGTCCGGAAGGAAAGAATAAGGAATCGGGCCTTCTTGGCAGGGGCCCTTGGAACAACTTGCCAGTGGAGATCTGCCTGTCCCCCTCGCTGGGTGTTTTCAGGAATAAACTTAAAACCTGGCTATTTAGGCACACTTTCCCTCCTGCCATCTCTTAATTTTTTATACTTTTGGCACCTTGGATCTCTGTATATATTTATTGGTTTTATTGTTTTAAAATTTGTAAACCACCCAAAGTAGACCTTTGGTGTAGATGGGTGGGATAGAAATCCAATCAATCAATCAATCAATCAATCAATCAATCAATCAATCAATCAATCAATCAATCAATGTTTGCCGTTATTTTTATTTGATTCCCTAACTTAGGAGTAGCAACAATTTTTTTAAGCAACACTTCCTTCATAAATGGAAGACTAAATGTGTTTTATAGAATCAACTCTCATATCAAAGCAAAGCCATATACATAGCAAATCTCAGAGGTTAAAACAGATTTTAAAAATCTGCAGTCTGCTATAGTTGCACAAGTGGAAATACCAAAAACCTCTACTTTCATACATAAGGTTTCCAACTGAGTTTGGGAGCAGCAACTGAGAAGCCCTTCTGAGAAGGTCTTTACCTGCTGCTGGAACAGAGCAGGAAGGGGACAAACCTAGCCCGTCTTGGTAAGGAATTCCAGAGCCTGGGAGAGGCCACCAAGAAGGCCTTCTCTCAAGTACCCACCAGACAGTCTCCAAAGCCCAGGCAGGTTTGTAAAGAGGAATATGATATTTCAGATAACTTGGACCCAAGTCATATAGGCCTTTATAGGTCACAACCAGCACTTTGAGTTCTGCCTGGAAATTCACTGATAGCCAATTAAATGTTCCCTACAACTGGCTCCAGTCAGCAATCTGGCTATGCTGTTTTGAAACAGCTGTAGTTTCTGCAAAGGCAACCCATGTAGAGTACACTGCAGTAATCTAATTCGGATACAAAGAAGATGTGTCATTATAGCCAAGCCAGACATTTCTAGGAATGGGCACAACTTGGTGTACCAACTTCAAGCGTGCAAATACATTCCTCTCTGCTGAGACCTGAGCATCCAGGCTCAGGGATGAACCTGGAGCACACCTAAACTATTAAATCTGATTCTTCAGGGAGAGTGTAACCATATTCACCACAGGTTGAATTCTCTGGTTTGCCTTCGGTTGACTGTCTTGCCTGGATTGTGCCTCAACTTGTTTGCTCTCTCACTTAAAACAACAGCAACAACAACAACAAAAACCTCTGGGAGCATGGGGATCATCATTGGGCTTGGGAAACAAAAATGCCCTTGAGATGCTCTTTGCAGTTCACAAGACATACCTTTGTCCACCCCATTATACACATTCATATTGCTGGAACCATTCTTGTCCACAATTGTAGTCCCCAGTGTTCATCACATATTAATAAAGTTTAATGTTTAGAATAGAGAGATTCCCTACCCCCAGAAGATGAGAATCAATGGCCTGACTTCAGTTATAGCTATAATCCTCTCTCATCTGTGTTGTGAGAGAGCCCTTATGTTGTGTCTTTTCTTGAACTGAGCTACTTTGGTAATGACAGTGAGCTCCTGAGCTTGGCTTTGGTACTGCATCTCCATTTTAGATTCCACTTTTTTTAAAAAAAAACCCAGATTTGTCCATATGGAAGGGCAGAGACAAAACTCTCTCATCTGTGTTGTGAGAGAGCCCTTATGTTGTGTCTTTTCTTGAACTGAGCAACTTTGGTAATGACAGTGAGCTCCTGAGCTTGGCTTTGGTACTGCATCTCCATTTTAGATTCCACTTTTAAAAAAAAAAAACAGATTTGTCCATATGGAAGGGCAGAGACAAAATAAATACTTGAGGATGTGTTTATTAATTTCTCTTTAAGAGTTTCTCCATTCCCCCCACCCTTGACAACTTGATTTTTCGTTCTACTGGGTGCTCTAATGAAAACTCATTAACTGATTATTATGTGATGGATTAGCTAAGCAACTGGAAACAAATTGTGGTAAGTTTTTTTAGCAAGTTGCTGCATTGATTTTTCTATCCGATTAGCTAAGCAACTGGAAACAAATTGTGATAAGATTTCTTTTTAGCTAGTTGCTGCATTGATTTTTCTGTCCACAAACCCTCAGAAAGATCTCTTGCACACACTGGAAGTGTTGAAATTAGGTCTGAGTTGTAGCCCAGGTAGCCAGTTAGTTCGAAATCTTTAGTGTACACCGCAGGGTTTCCCACATTTTCCCATTCCCCATTCCCCTAATCCTATCGGGGGAACAGCAGCTCAGGGGAGGAGATTATACCATTTTGCCCTACCCTGGGTACAGAACTGGCCCTTACCCATATCTGTTTATCTGGAAATGAAATATGTAATAAAAATGTTATTTATAGCTATTGTTTACTAGCTAGAAATATAATAATATGGTATTTAATTACACAAAAGAATTTAATTAAAGAATTCAAGCAAACCACTACTAGCTCTCAAGGAAAGTTTAACTGGTCTAACAGTTCACTGGAACGTAAAAAAATTTCAGGTTTAGGACACATTGTACCTGACATTATAGCACAGAATTGTTACCTGGGAGGAGCTGGACTGAGTTGCAATAAGAAATTTCTTC